TAAGAAAATAATATATATATATATATATATATATATATATATATATATATATATTTGGTTAGGAGATCATTAACACTGATATACCACCGTCTTTGTTAGTACGGAGTCCGGTCACGCCCGAACAGCTAGGCCATCTCCACACGAACAATGTGGTTTGACATGTGATGCAAAAGAAAGTTGTTGCAAGAGTAGTACCACCATGTGCGTAACATGGCGTCCGATCTCTACCCGATCAGCTAGTCCGCCTTCCCACATATGCCATGTGGTTGACTTTTTCCAATTCACAGCTATTACCAGTTTCATCCCAATTGAGGGAAATAATCACGATTTTACCAATATTTTAATTTCATCCCAAATGAGGGGAACAATTGCAATCCACCCCAATACCGGCACGTGTAGTTTCAGGTGTGGGCCTTATGACCCACCCTTCCTTGGTTTTGCTAATGATACTCCCAGAAATATTTTTGATTTAAGTTGCACACAAAGATAACATAAATACAAACGTATTCATCTCAGAATCTTTCACATTGTATAGATCTTCATTAGTGTTTTCAACCACTCACAATAACACTATTTTCTTGGCTCCTTTGACCATTCAGGAGATTCTTTATTCATGGCACGATGCCCGTATTTTATATTAAACACTTTCACTTCTTTTAATTTCAAGGATCACCATCAAATACCAACATATAGAATATTTCATAAATCATATACCTCAAGTTCATTAGTAATGGAAACTTTAAACACAAAAGATTTCTTCTCAAAGAATGGGGCATACCAACCAGCAATAGAAACACTCATCAAAGCCATAAACAAGCAATACACCAATTATTCTTGAAATACTCTTTCCCAACAACGACAATATACAATTTCAACACCAGAATATGTAAGAACTCGAATCACATTGGATGTATTTATAAGGCAAGGCATTAGTTAATGACAACCACTTATGGGCATGAATTGAGTACAAAAGCTTTTAGGAAATTCTATTTTCGAAGTCACTTTAAAATAGTCGAGTCGAGGCTCATTTCATAATCTTTATTACATCCCCTCATTTCATTTGTCCAACTAATCACAATCATAACATAAATTCTTGGCACGTTGGCCACATTTTCAAGTATCTTTATAGATTATCAACAACAGGATATTTTCAATCAAGACTTTAGGTACACATATGAGCAATTATGAGTCTTAAGCATATCGAGTTTTTCTCACCCAATTGGTATACTAGTTTTCATTTAAAACAAGACTCAAAGCCATACCATTTTAATACGCAAACCATACTTTGAACATCTATCTTCCAACATAAGGCTCATTCGAAATAATTAAGTTTATAGGGGATAACCCAAAATATAGAAATTAGGAATTTTGCGCCAACCATACCTAAACTTACGGAAACATTATGGAATTCGATTCCGAGAGAGAAAGTTTAGCCAACATACCTTGTTTGAGCTTTCCTTAAGTTACTACAATGCCCCAACACTTCTAGCAATAACAATCTAGAGGAAGATAGCGAAAATCAGTTAATAATTAGAAGGATTCCTATGGTGCAACACTCCTAGGAATTTTGTCAAACACCTTTCATGCAAAATAGACTACAAGGCTCTAAAATTGTAATCCCTTCCTCCTACAATAAAATTTAAAAAAAAAAACTACCAAAATGGTTCATTAGTCCTGCATACTACAACCTAGTATCACATGCAAGGCCTATTTCCAACCCCACAATATATTTGAGGATGATAATCTAGTGACTAGCTTCCTTGGTTCTTGAAGATTGGTGCAAGATTGAATGATTGGGAGGTTAGTTTTCTCCTTCTCTCTCTAAAATGCTCTCACCCCTCTCTAGATTCACCAAAAAATCGCCACAAATAAAGCCGAACGCCTATTTATCAAAGTGGGGTCGGATTATGAAAATAGGAAAATGAACTCTCCGAACTCAAGTCTGCGGTCGGAGAATGGACTGCAGAATGGGTATGCGGGTCGCACAATGGACCGCAAAACTGATGCCCAGAACTGGACTGCACTGGATAGGTCTGTGACAGGTTTGCGGTCCGCAGACCACTTATGCGGCCGCAGAATGGGTCGCAGAATCGCCCAACTAAATTTCCTCATCCTAACTCTACGATAGAAGTGCAGACCACGAAACAAGTATGCGGTCGCACAATGGACCGGAATCAACCCTCAAAATTCAACAATCTTTCTGCTCAACTCTGCGATGATTATGCGGCCCGCGAAACGGTTCTGCGATCGCGAAACAGACCGCAGAATTGCCTTCTTCTGTCAAAAATTTTCATCTACTCCTCGGTGCATTCTTCAACCGAAAAAGTCCGTGCCGAGGCGCGGCACCACAAAACCTTAAATTACTCAGCGAAATTTTCCGTTTTCATTAACGAAAACAAACAATATAAAAAATAATAATAAAATGCAACTCTTTTTCTTCTTTGTTTTCAAATAGAATTCTCGGAATAGCGAATAGCATATGAAGCAGCACACTAACACAAATCATTGAAAAATACAAAGTAAACGAAAACTTGTTCACCTAATCTAACATTTATCATCGTCATCAATCTTTTCTCGTTGCAACAAATCAAAGAGACAAAATTTGGAGAAAACCTTCAAAGGTAACACCACCACCATTTTCATCACCACGGCCCAATTTAATCATGGCCTTAATATCATCATCATCCACTTGAAGCCCAGCCCAATTCAGATAACTCTTAAGATCCTCTACCCCAACTTTGCCATCACCATCTTTGTCCATCACCTTGAAAACATCCTCCATTACATTATTATTATTATTATTCACCCCTAACGTTCCATTTCTTCTGCTTTTAGAACTGTCTAGAACCTTCTCGAATTCCTCGAATTCCACGAAACCGTCTTTGTTGAAATCGGCCACCGTCATCATCGTACCAATCACGTCGTCGTCGGGTTCGCCGGTGGCGCCGACGAATCCTCCGTAAGATGTTCGGAGATCGTCGGTGCTTATCTTTCCGTCGCGGTCAACATCTAAAACGTCGAATGCGGACCGGAGATTCGGCTTTCCGGTGGCTTCAGAATGCAAAACGCTTCCCGTCGGACACATTTCCGGTGGTTTTTGCCGTTAATTGATAAATTAAATAGGACCTGTTCGTCGATTGGGAAAATACAGGAAACGTAAAGTCTGTAGAGAATATAGGAGGAAAATGAGCGGCGAATTTATAGGAGGTCCTTGTAAGCTTGGGAGACAAGTTTTTTGAATTTGGACTTGGACTATTTAGAACTATTTTATAGTTATTGGGGGCAATTTGTAATATTTGAGACTTTTATGTGAACGAGTCGGTCTTACACGAGTATGATGTGCGTATGGGATGACATCACAATAGCAAGAATATACTCATGTTTCTGGCGAGGGCCTCTTCAAAATCGATGGAAATTTTATTTTGAAAATTAATGGATGGTACATTTCCACATAGTACTAAGCTAGCCTTGGACCCATTATTTCCTTCCAATTGGCGTCCTCGCTTTTCTCTCTTAACAAATTTTAAATAAATAAATCGTTTATTCAAAAACTCGCTTCTTATTACTCTTTCCAATAAATAAATTTCAATAGCCAAGTAATTATAATTCAAATTGTAGTGCTTCACATTTTAAACTTCATTTGCTTTTAACCTGTTTTAGCTGCTATCGTCCATGGTTTAAGAATAAGTTGTCTTAAAGCCTACTCCCTCCGCTCTAATTTATGTGAATCTATTTGATTGGGTACGGAGTTTAAGAAAAAATAAAGATTTTTGAAATTGGTGGTCCTAAACAAGTCAAAAAGAAACCCTGAGTATTTTTGTGGTTATAAAAACTTCTCATTGAGGATTGAATTGGAAGTTTAAGCTAAATTGTTTCCAAATTTAAAAAGGAGTCATTCTTTTTTGACGGACCAAAAATGAAATAGGTTCACATAAACTGAAATGGAGTGAGTATTATATTTTCAAGAACTAATTTTAAAATATCACATTTTGATTCGTTGGGTAAAGAAAACAGTAATTTTAGTCTATTCTAAATCATTATTAATCAGTTCGGCACTTTTTTTTTCTTTCACGATGGACAAAATAATTTACCGACGGTGTATTAATATCTTAGCCACACATAGAGCGTGTTTGGATTGACTTATAAAAAGTAGTTTTTAAGCTAAAAGCCAAAAGTCATAAGTTGGTAATACCTAACTTTTGGTCTTTGGCTTATTTTTGTACTTTTTATGCCTAAAAATAAGTGCTTTTAAGCACTTTTTATCATTATCAAACACCACACAAACTAAAAAGATACTTAAAAGCCAATAAGTACTTAAAATAAGCTCATCCAAACACCCTCGTAGTAGGGTTTAAGAATAGTCAAAAAGGCGCTGGATTCCAGCCTACAAAACTTCCAAAAGACAAGAGTACGAAATGGTCACATCCACTAATTAATTAATGGCGTACATAAATTTATTATGTTCACATGTCCAAAGTACCATAAGATTCAGCACATGACTAAAATCTCTAATATTTGACAAGAGTCACCGTCTGTGAGAGTACCTGTGGTTCCCTTTCATTATTGGGCACACGGTAGGTGAATTAAATACTTCTTCTTGTAATATACTCCGGTCCTTCACTTTTATTTGGCATGTATAATAACAATAAATTTTTATTTTTACTTGTCACTTTATGCATATCAAGATTAATAAAAAAAAATCATGTTATACCAATAGTATTTATTACTCATTTTAAATCATTTTCTCAAATCAAATAAATTATGCATCAATTAATATGGGTATCATGGTAAATTATACACTTTATTTAGTATTTCTTAAGGGACATGAAAAATCAAAACATGACAAGTAAAAGTGAACGGAGGGAGTATTCATTTACCTTACAAAATGTGTTTTGTATTTCCTCTCGCCCTAGCTTGCTTTTTTTTTCTTTAAACGATGAGTTTCACTAAAAGGAAAAAAGATAGTGTTCGTCATGATTATGATAGAAGCGGATGGAATGAATAATTTATAATGCTTTTTAGCAATAAACTTTTTACACAAGAAGAAATTACTTATATAATCTTATTTATAATAAAAAGTAGTCTTTGAAGTCCTCATTGTGGTCCATTCTTTTTATTAAGGGGAGATCTAGACCATACAATTTGGAGAATCCCAATATTCTGGGCGAAACAGCATCAAGTATAGGGTTTGGTTTTTCTGTCAGTCTTTTCCTCTCAAAGAATCTAATTTCACCTTGTGTGGAGCAGCTTCTGAACGAATACTTCGTTCCTTGTGAATACATGAAAGTTCGCCCGACGTTCTTCTCATTATTGGACAAACTACTACAACTTTTGCTTTAAATGTGTATACGGTCGAGATCAGGTATGTCCGATCTCCCAGGCTCGAAGGGTCGCCTTAGGCCCGAGTTCAGATAAGGTCGAGTTCGAGCTCGATGGACCAGACTCGAGCTCGAAGACAGAGTGCAATGCCTGAAGATTGAAGTACGATGGATACTGAAGCCGAGTATGCTCGACCCCGAAATAATGCCGTTATGGATTTGTAACAGAATGAGCGAGATTCCTGCCACATTCCAAAAATCATGGCGCAAACGGAATAGAATCATACGATTCCGTACTAGGCGGTTAGACAGCTGTCCCAATAAGATTCCTTACTGTAAATGAAAATGTCCTTATTTAGGCTCCCCTATTATATAAAGGGGACCCCAATCGTTTGTAAACATCATCTAATTATTGGCAAAGAATATACTCTCCACTTTTCGCTCATTGTTCATCAGAATTGTCCTTTAACTTTATTGTTCTTGCTTTATTGTTCTTGGTTCACCTCGAGGTCACTGAGGTCGATACTGCTTAAGTAACACTGGTTTGATTCATTTATTTCTTTCATTTATACTTTATACTTCCTGATAGTTAATTGGTATTGAGCTAAATCACATATCTTTAAAACCACAAATCAAATTTAATTGTTACTTTATTTTGTTTATGACTGATTATTTTTCTAAATGGGTAGCACAAGCCTTCGAGAAGGTCAGAGAAAAAGAAGTTATTGACTTCATCTGAGACCATATCATATGCCGGTTCGGGATACCTGTCGAGATCTTATGTGACAATGGAAAGCAATTCATCGGCAGCAAGGTAACGGGGTTCCTCGAAGCACATAAAATAAAGAGGATCTTATCAACACCGTATCACCCAACTGGAAATGGACAGGCCGAGTCCACAAACAAAACTATCATTCAAAACCTAAAGAAAAGGTTGGACGATGCGAAGGGAAAATGGAGAGAGGTCCTACCAGAGGTCCTTTGGGCATATCGAACAACATCGAAGTCTAGCACAGAGGCTACTCCGTTTTCTTTAGTATATGGTTCCGAGGCCCTTACCCCTGTCGAGGTCGGAGCGCCTGGTTTCGACATGCATCGGAGGAATCAAATCATGAGGCTATGAATACTAGCCTCGAGCTATTAGATGAAAAACGAGAGGCATCACTTGTTCGGATGGCCGCGCAGAAGCAAAGAATCGAGAGATACTACAATAGAAGGACCAACCTTCGACAATTTGGAATCGGGGACTTAGTTCTACGAAAAGTCACCCTCAATACTCGAGATCCGAATGAAAGGAAACTAGGCCCGAATTGGGAAGGACAGTACCGAGTCCTCGGAGTTGTCGGCAAAGGGTCTTACAAACTTGGCACGATGGAAGGTGAGCAATTGTCAAACAATTGGAACGTATCACTACTCAAATGATACTATTGCTAAGGTATGACTTTCCCTTTTTGTCCATTTGAATTTGAAACTAACCCATTGTAGGTGTTCGATCGAAGCTATCGAAGGCACCTTTTTACACGAAGACCTTAGGTTTTAAAGCATGCGTTGCACTCTTTTTTCCTTAGATCGGATTTTGTCCCAAATGGGTTTTATCGACGAGGTTTTCAACGAGGCAACAACTATGTGCTACCTAAGGAGAACTCAACAGTATCCAAGGCTTCTTTTCAATGAACCTCGAATACTGGGGGGGGGGGGGGGTAACCCTCGGAGGTTATATTTCGAGGAAAATACTTCATGCCAAAGAGGGCCTCTCTTCTGCGAGCTTCTTGAGCTCGGCCTCACATCGAGCAAGCTCGGTTCGAGACTTGGAAAATGCTTATCGATGTAGCGTCACAACCTTCAAAAAAGGAAAAAGTTAGACTCAAAACAACAAAGATAAAGCGCAGGCATAATATTAAGGGCAGAAAATTACTTGTTTGAAAAGCCGCTGGGCCTCATCAAAAATAAATAAGGCATCTGGGTCGGGACCATCTTCGACCCCTGCAAGGCATTCTCGAAAGATATCATTCCCTTCGTGGCTCGTTCCCATGTCGGGAGTTCTCATGTTCCGGGCATCTTTGAATTTCCCCTCGGAGAACTCAGGACCAAGCGGCAATTCATCCACATTAATGACCCCAAGTGATCCACTAGGGACATTCTCTTCTCTTTGGAGAGCCTCGGAACCGGGCCCCTCGGTCTCATCCTCCAAATGACCTCCAAGACGAGGTGCTCTTTTGCTGCCCGATGGCTCGGGGACTTTGCTCGAACTCCCCTCAGAGATTTCTTCGGTTCGAGAATGAACCGCATCAGCCACCATCGGTTCAGCGGTCTTTGAAGCGTCAGTGCTTCCTCTTTTCCAAACTACCAACAGGCAGTCATCATCTTCCCCCACTTCATCCTTATCCTGAAGGCGTTGGGGCGTTTCTGGAGACAGGGCCACGGTATCAGCATTAGGCTTTCGAGCCTTGCTTTTTTTTTGGCTTCGGGGAATTTGCAGGTGATCCCCTCTTTCTTTTCTTTTCCTTGGAGGGCTTTGTGATTTCCTCTTCACCGGGTAGGGGCGGCCGTATAGAAACGACGTCTCCGAGGCCTGTATAAAGATGCAATAAGTATTTCACTAAGGAACACATGAATGCAAACAAGAAACTCACCATAGTTTTTAGCCTCCCATCGGCCTTTGTCCAGGTCACGCCAGCTGCGTTCCGCAGATGAAGAAGTGGAGGCTAGTTGCCATAACCAACCTTTGAGGTCTGGGACCACACCAGGAAACCAAGCAACAACTACACCATCGGAAAGGGATTAGATTGAGAAAGGGATGAGGTCGAGAAAGAGTAAGGAAAGTAGAATATAAAGTTACTACCGATAAACCTGTAGTTATGTTTCATGTTCCATTCCTCGGGGAATGGCATCCTCTCAGCAGGAATCAGGTCGGAGGTCC